ATTTGTACGTATTCAATAGCTTTATTTTTGTTCAAAATAAATGTGAAACAATAAAAATAATAATAAATAATAATTTTATATAGTTATATATACATATAAGATGATGTATTATGGAAAATTTATATATTTTACACGCTTGGAAACTTTATTATGCACAAGGTAAAATCAGATTTAAACACATATTATAATAGAAAAAAATTTTATATAATTATTTAAAAATAGTTCATAAATGAATCATTTATTTCGCAGATGGAAAATTTATAATAAAATTTTTTGTTAATTTTATATTTTAATTTCTATTTACATAATAATACAATTAATTTTATATATATATACGTATAATATTTTACATAATAATACAATTAATTTTAATTATAATTTTTATGAATTTTTCTTTTTGTTATTAATATAACGATAATGTTATTAATAAATGAATTTTTCATTGCTTTAGAAATTGTTTATTAAATTTTTATCAAAATGCATCAAAAAGTGTATTAAAGTATATAAAAGAAACAATTCTTCCATCAAAACCAAAGAAACCAATATCTCCTTTTCTTTTATATGTAAGAGATATTAAATTCAAAATCAAACAAGAAGAACCTGATACAAAATATTCAGAAATATTGAAAAAAGCATCCAAGGGATGGGCAGAATTAAATTCTGTTGAAAAGGAAAATTTTACAAAACAATACATAAAAAATTATGAAATATATACAAAGGAATTAAAGGAATATAATAATTCTCTTACTAATGAACAAAAGCAATTATGGGAGAAAAAAAAAAAAGAATATGAAGAATCTAATAAAGAAATTAATAATAAACAGGTACTTATAATGAATAATTAATATATCAAATTATATGTTAATATTTTTACTTATTATTAATTAATCTAATCAAAAATTAATTACAGAAATATAAAATACTTGGTAAACCAAAAAAACCACCAAATACATATTTATTATATGTATCATCTAAAAAAAATGAAAAAGATCCAAATATATCTTTCAAGGTATGATAAAAATATATGATAAAATAATTTCCAATTATATTTTATTTTTTATTTATTAATGATTAATAAAAAGAATAACATTACTGATTATTTTATTATTTATTTAATAATTTTTTTTTTTATTGGTTTTCATTAGGATTGGTTAAAATCAATGTCAATAAGTTGGAATAAATTATCAAATATAGAGAAGGAACCATATGTCATTAAAACTATGCAATTACAATCGCAATACAAAGAAGATTTAGAGAAATGGGAAATGGAAATGATACATTCAGGTCATTCTGATGTTGTAAGACTTCAAACTTTAATGAAATATAACCTTCATAAAAATGAACATAAAAATAAATAAAATTAAAACATTTATTTGACTAATTATTTTCATTTAAAAAATTAATAATATAAATATTTTTATAATAAATAATAATTTATATACAATATTCATTGATTTAAGATATTATAATTATAGAAAAATACATTATATTTAAAAATTACACTTAATAAAATATTTGTGACATTTTAGATAAATTTATAAATTTATATGATGTTTTATTTATTACGAAAAATAAAATTAAATTTAAAATAAATAAATTAAAAATAAAATAAAATTTATTATAATTATTTTTTAAATAATTTATCAAAGAATTATATTATTTTAACTATAATATTCTTCTATTTAAATAGTTACTATGATTGACAACTAGTAATATAATGATATGCAAACTTCTTTCGTATTTATATATTTGTATTAAATTTATTATATAATTTGTATTAAATTTAATATATTAATTTGTATTTAGGAAGTTATTTATTTACTAGAGAATATAATAAATCTCTGCATGAGATCTCTGCATCTTTAAATCAGCAGGCAATTGTTAAATATTTAAGTTGCGTTGCAATGGAAATATTACTTAACAATATTCATAATATTATTTTAAAATATAATAATATTTTTATTATTATTCATTTTTTTTCATAAATATCATTTTTCATTTATTTTTCATTGATTCTTGATCTTTTATTCATCTACAAACAAATTATTTTTTTATAGAATATTAATATGTTTATGAGATTTGTCTTTACATTTTAGAAGCTAAAATAAATATAAAAGTTGGCATGCAAAATTTCAATTGAAATTTGTTTATTAAGTTATAAGTATTTAAATATTAGCAAAGATAAAAAAAAAATGAGAATTTTGTTTCTGTCTTGCTTTATTTAATGCAAATTTATTTATAATATATTAATAAATAAATCTTATTCAATAAATTTTTATGCAATATTTTAATTTTTGTGTTTATTTTGACTTTTAGAATCAATTTTGCAAAATTATCCTATAATTATTTTATTTTAAAATCCTATTATATATCCTATATATTTTATTTTAATTTATATTATTTTTCAAATAAATTCTTAAATTTCTTTCAAAATACATTAGTTATTAAAATTTTTTTCTTTTCTTTAAATATGTAGTTTATAAATATAAATAAATAACATAAATGATTACAATAATTTTAAAAATATGTAACATTAAATAAATATATAATTAGATAAATATAACAAGAGGATAGAATAAATTTTATTTTATCATTGAATTATATTCTATATTTTGTTAGTTATTATTATAATTATATACTATAAAAATTTAATTAAATATATGATATATTTATATTTTAAAAAGATTTAAAAGAAATTGAAATAATTTGTTTATATATGTTCATATATAACTTATACAGTTAAAGTAATAGGAATATCTGTGTTATGTAAACAATAAAAGAATCCATAATGTATTAATGTAAAACTGAAAATATATAAAGCTAAATCTCCAAGTATCATACGACTTATTGTTATTAATTTTTTTAATCTATAAGTTAATTCAGGGTTGATATTGCATAAAATCAAAGCAGTATATAATAGATTATTTTCTTGCATTTCTCGTGTATTTTTATAATTATATAGACGTCCCAACATGATTGGAAAATATGGTATTGTAATTGTCTGTANAATTTATTCAGAAAATAATTTCAAAATAATTATTTATATATATATATATATATGTTACCTGATATTTCATTATTTATATGTAAAGATGAAGTTTCTTTTTGTATGTCTTTGACAATGATTTGAGCTAAAATAAAATAGTTTTAATAATTAAAAAATTAATGAATATTAATTTTTATTGATTATTTAAATAATGAATAATCAGCCTGTGTTATCTGTTTTATACAATTGTAATTAATAAATAATTAATAAATAATATATATAATTGTAATTAAAATATCTTGACAAAAACTAGATATATATAATTTTTATTTCAATAAATTTATCAAAAATATTTTCATATTTTCAATAATTATAAAACACAAAATATAAAATATAAATTTTGACTTCAGGTTCTTTTAATATTGATAAAATGAAAATATTTTAATAATTTTATAATATATGGGATTGATAATTATTTTGATACCTTTTGATTTATTATCGTCTTTGCCAGTAATTTTTAATAAACGTTTTTCAGAATTTTCTAAAATTCGTCTTCTTCTAGCATTTCGTTTTGCATTGACATCTTCCATGTTATCCTTGCTATACTTTGTTTAATTAAATATTAGAAACGAAAATTTATGCTATTACATTAAATTTATGCAAATTCAATAAATAAAATTTATTTCTTCAAAATATATAGAACAAACAAATTGAGAAAAGTTAATAGTAACCTTTGAAATCTACAAAATTTTTATATTTGAATAATATATTAATTTGTTATATTATATTTGTAAAATTCGTTTCCATATCAATAATTACTTCTTTGCTAATTGCTTTTTTGCTATTAATTATTTAATTGAATATTTACAATAATACAGAAGATATTAAATAGAGATTATTTATTAATTTAGTAATTAAAATTTCAATTAAATTATTAAACACTGCTAAATATCATAATTTTTACATAAAATTGAAAATCATTATCTATATCATATAATTATTGTAATAATTATTGTATATATTATATGTAATATTATTATTTTATATAATAAAAAAAAATAATATAATTATTAATAAATTTTAATACTTAATTTAATTTTATGATATCGAATTAGATATAAATAAAGAAAATTAATCAAATAATTGAAGTTTTTTATACAATTTTAATTAATATTTAAATATAAATAAAAATATATAATATAAAATGTTTAATTTAAATATAAGTTAAGTTATGTATCGCATAAAATTTTGAATGATATAATGAAAACGCGGCATACATTTTTAAGCAAGTATATACTTTTACTTACACTTACATTTTTAATGAAATCTGGCTAGATTTAGCGGTTTTTGGCGGGTTAAATATACTATTAGTATTGAATTTTTATTAAAATATAACAATGGGAGATAAAGATGGTGGTAAGAATAATATTAATTATTTTATTACGTTTTCTAATTATTTCTATAATTATAATTGTTTTAAAAAACATTTTTGTATTATAATATAACGACAGAGTTTTTTAAAATAAATTTCTAAGAAATAAAATTTATTTAAAATATTGTTTAATTTGTCAATAATATTTAGTTTTTGTCTATGTATGGTATAAAATATTTTTATATTCTAATCTATAATCTATAATAGAATTACATTGATAGGTTATATTATATCATAAAAAGAATATGATTTTCATTAGTTAAAATATTGATTTTTTTTATTTTTTATATAGTTTTTTTTTAAATGTATTGATTGAATTACTGATTGATTTATAATATTTTTATATCAAACTATAATAAAGGATATTTGAATTAGGTAATTTTTTTATTTCGAATATTTTTTTTTGTATATTGCATGAAAATTTTTTAACTATTTATTCATATTTATAATATTTATGTGAATCTTAATATTTCTTAAATATTTTATTAATCTTATTGTATAAATTATTTTATTATAGAAACTTTTGACGATGCTGTAGAAGAAAGAGTTATTAATGAAGAATATAAAATATGGAAAAAAAATACTCCATTTTTATATGATCTTGTAATGACGCATGCTTTAGAATGGCCATCTTTAACTGCTCAATGGTTACCAGATGTAACTAGACCAGAAGGAAAAGATTATTCAGTGCATCGTCTTATTTTGGGAACTCATACTTCAGATGAACAAAATCATTTGCTTATAGCTAGTGTACAATTACCAAATGAAGATGCTCAATTTGATGCATCTCATTATGATAATGAAAAAGGAGAATTTGGAGGATTTGGTTCTGTTAGTGGAAAAATAGAAATTGAAATAAAAATAAATCATGAAGGAGAAGTAAATAGAGCACGGTATATGCCACAAAATCCATGTGTAATTGCAACTAAAACACCATCCAGTGATGTCCTTGTATTTGATTATACAAAACATCCAAGTAAACCAGATCCTAATGGTGAATGTCAACCTGATCTAAGGTAAATATATTTAAATATGTTTATTAGAAAATATAATTATATAATAGTGATTTTAATATTTTTATACTAGATTAAGAGGACATCAAAAGGAAGGTTATGGTTTGTCATGGAATCCAAATTTAAATGGATATTTACTTAGTGCATCTGATGATCATACAATTTGCTTATGGGATATTAATGCACCTCCTAAAGAAAATCGTGTTATAGATGCAAAAACAATTTTTACTGGACATACTGCTGTTGTTGAAGATGTAGCATGGCATCTGTTACATGAATCTTTATTTGGGTCTGTGGCAGATGATCAGAAATTAATGATTTGGGACACAAGGTAATTAAATATTTATATTAATGATTGATAAAAATAAATATTATTATAATGAAGTTTCAATTATTAATTGGAAATTGTAAATATATTTTTGTATTTCTTAGATGTAATAATACTAGTAAACCAAGTCATACAGTTGATGCTCATACTGCTGAAGTCAATTGCTTGAGTTTTAATCCATATTCAGAATTTATTCTTGCAACTGGCAGTGCTGATAAAACGGTAGCACTTTGGGATTTGAGGAATCTTAAATTGAAATTACATTCTTTCGAATCTCATAAAGATGAAATTTTTCAAGTTCAATGGTCCCCACATAATGAGACAATATTAGCTAGCAGTGGAACAGATAGACGTTTACATGTATGGGATCTCAGTAAAATTGGCGAGGAACAATCCAGTGAAGATGCTGAAGATGGACCACCTGAATTACTGGTATATAATAACATAGTTACATTTTTGATAAACAATGTCGTTGAAATTTGTTGAAAAAAGTATTTTATTTAATTATATTTGTTATAGTTTATTCATGGTGGTCATACTGCCAAAATCAGTGATTTTTCATGGAATCCTAATGAACCATGGGTCATATGTTCTGTATCAGAGGACAATATAATGCAAGTATGGCAAATGGCGGAAAATATTTATAATGATGAGGAACCGGACACACCAGCGAGTGAATTAGAAGCTGGCGCATCATAAAATATATAACAAAAATAACCGATTAAATTATTTCATACTGAAATTTTCTAACGTGTACACATATATGTGTGTTCACATAAAATCAATCCCATTTAGGATTAAAAAAAAATCGGTATTTTAATTAAACTGAATTTATACATTTAAACGATAAAGATCATCGAGAAGCAATAATATCTATTTTTATTATCAATCTTATGTCTGCTTATATACATACATGTATATTAATTCCATATATATTTCCATAATAAGTGTTGCATATGAATATTCGATATTTTATAGAAATAATTGATACTTCATTGATTCTAATATGATATATACATTATGTATAAATTTATACAAAAAGTTTTTTTCTATAGATTCTGTAATGTGTTGTAAATTTTTATGTTTATATATAAAATTTTGTGTATTATGCAATAGAAGTGTAAAATGATTTTCAACTGAAAAAAAAGTAGTTTTTTTTCCAATTTAAACCAATTAAAATATATCTTAGTTTTGAAAAATAAAAATATTAGAGTATTATTATTAATAGAAATACATTTATATTAAATGAAACAAATTAAAATATTGTAAAACATTTTATCAATTTTTTAAAATTAAGTACAATCATATTTAACAAATTTAATAACATCGCGACAATTCTTTTTTTAATTTATTTTTATTTTGTATGTTATATCGTTAAGAAGAAATATAATAGAAATTACGCGAAAAAATTTCGAGACGAAAAAAATTGAATTTATGGTTTTTGTGAAGTTTTCTACTTTTTCTCGCAGACATAGATAACTTTTAATATTTAATAACTGTCTTTTAATATTTTAATTAATAAAATACATTACATTTGTAACATTTGTGTCTTTTTTTCAGTTTTTGTGTCTTTTTTTAATTTTTTATATATATTTTTTCTTGTGTCTTTTTTTATTTATTATTTATTTTTATATATTTTTTTATATTAAATTTTTATATTTAATTATATTTAAATTGAATAATTACTAGAATAGAGATTAGAACAATTTTTGTAAAGAAACATATGAATATAATAATAGCAATAACAAAATAAATATTTTTATTAATTATATAGTTGTATTCGAAAGTTCGTTGTAGATTTCGTCAAGTAAAGAATTTTTACAAATGGAATATCGTTTATGTAAAGATGTCATATCAATATCGATACTATCGAAATGTATAATTCTGTAATATGAAAAAAATAAGGTAAATTAATTTCAGAATTTTATATTAATTAATAGATGGTTCGTGTCATTACCAAAATCTGCGTGTCAAATAGATGTCGCTTATAGAACGCGATCTTTGCCTGTTTGTGCATGCAAAATGAATTTTTAGCAAAATATGGAAAAAGACACGAAAAAATAATTTAAATGTTCTATTATACATCAAATTACCTCTTATTAGCATTTTGTCGTTTAATATTGTCGAGAAAGTTTACAATGGGCGGCGTTAAGATTGGACGAAATAACTATAAAGAAAATTAAAATTAAAATAAATTAAATAATTTAAAATAGAAAAATATAGAATTCACACATACCGTAACGGGAACACTTCGCATTTCACGAAGATCAATATTTCTGAATAAATCATGAACAAGAATTTCCTCGATAATCTTATGACGATTAGATAATTCATCAAATATGAATTTGAATAACTCGATGACCTGCATACGTAAACATTTCAATCAATAATTTTGATTAAATAAAAATTGATATTTTAATGTATTTTGTCAAGAGATAGTTATCTAATCTAACTTTTTATTGTTTAATTTAATGTTTAATTGTTTATATGTATTATTATTATAAAAAACATTAATAATCAAATATTATTAATATAAATATTTGATCACTAATAATATTTCTTATAAGTTTATTAAATATATATAAATTGAGCAATAATCTAATATTATTAATAGTAAAACAAGTAAGCAAAAGAAAAAAAGATAAAAAGAAAATAATAAATAACAAGAAAAAAAAATATGATTTATACTTGAGGATACATTTCAATATCCGATAGATGAACAGAATTTGGCTTAAATGATGGTAATTCGTAACCAGCGCACATTTCAAATAGCATGTGACCTGGAAGATAACAAATATTCAAATTAATATATTTAAATTGTAATTGAAATTGATCTTACCAAAACATGTCATGTCAATTGAAATAGTTTGTGATATTCGAGAAAAAATTAATGGATGTATTCGACTGGTAAAACCAAGAAGCGTATTTTCAAGACCAGCGAGACGTGCGACACCATTTTGAATGAGCACATTTCCTGAATGCAAATGGATTACAGTCGGAAATCCTCTTTCTTTTAAAAAAATTAATGCTTCCAGTATTTGACGTCCCATTTGTTGAACTTGAGGTAAAGGAAGTCCTTTACCATGAGAACTATATTTTTGATTCCAATCTTCATTCCAACCTGTTCTTTCGATCTATAAATCATTTCAATGTAAAAATATAATATCCAAGCATTTATTTATTTTCTTCAAAAATTTGTTTATTATTCAATTTATCATGATTACTTACCCCATATATCAAATCTTTCAGACTACCTTGACTTATTGGTTGAACTACAATTACATAATTTTTATTATCATATTCAAGAAAATCGATATCAAATATAGGGCATATGTATGGATGTTGCAGGGCTAAGAATAAATCATTCAAAACATTCTTCGTCATTGGAGTTATATTCAATAAACAGTTTTTAGTCAATGGAACTAACGTAATCAATCGATCGGTTTTTAAAGAAGTATCTCTGACTATGAACCAATGTTTGTCCATTCTAGAACCTATAAATTAAAATAAATTATTTGAATAGCAATTCCTTCGTTTTAAAAATAATAATAATATTTTTATATTATGTTTTCATATTAATGTACTTTAAAATTTATATAAAATATTCGAATGATATGATACAAAATTAAAAGATAATTTTAAATTAAATAAATTTAAAAAATTAAAATAACCAAAAAGCTAATATGCAAAACTATTATTTAATTTTTTAAAGATCAAAAGCTTCATTTTTTTAAGATAATCAATTTAATCATAAACAATTTAGCATTAGATAAAACTAAATGAAGAAAATAAAGTAAAATTAAATTGTTTATAAAAAAATAAGTTTTAACAAATATTTTTGTATAATAATTTATAATAAATTAATTTTTGCATAATAATTTTAATTTCTAAAATTATTCTTTAAATTTTCCATTTATATTTTTTAAACATCTCATACATAATTAATAAATGTAGAAAATCAAATTTACCGAGATTATTTAACTGTTTAACGAAATTATAACGTGATGTTCTACAAACATAAGTTTGACAAATTGATAAGGCACGATCCCTGGACCTCTTCTCCATTTCCATACATTCGCCAACACTTTCACAAATAGATGATCCGTGACCCAATTCTGTATAATTATGTTTTCCATTCCTATTTTCAAACATAATAAATTCATTTAATTTCAATATAGTTATCTGTTTAGTTTACGAAATAAGTTATAAATAACGAATTGAATGCCAATGACTTTGATTGAAATATTATTAATATTATTTTCATTAATGATAATCATTGATAGATTGTTTTTATTAGAATTTTAATTAATTGTATTTAACCGTTTTTTATACAAAATGAATAGAATTAACAATAATAAGATTATGATATTTAATTAAAAAAAAAAGAAAAGTAAAAAAAAATAGAATTTAAATAATATTACCAATCAACAGTATTGTTTTCCGCTTTATTTGAAAAATTATAATTGCGCTTATGAATTATTTCTTGCGTTGATGAACGATTCCTCAAATGATACCAATAACAAATTAGATGCAGACACCAACGACTACAAATTGTATTAGTCGCATTAGTATTATTAGCGAGCAACCATCGTTCTCTATGAATACAAAGATTTGATCTTATAAGATGATAATTGTATTAATATATAATTATATTGATATTTCAAGAATAAATTAATTAATTCATTTTTTATATTTTTAATTCATCTTTTTATTTTTCATATTTTTCATGTATTTATTTATTATGTCTGTTTTCATTTTAACTTTTTTTATTTATTTCATTTTTAGATTAATTCTGAATTTTAAAAAATTTAAAAAAATAAAAAAGAGAGAAAGAGTCACCTGCGTTGTTGTACAATTGGTATTCGTTTTTTTGAAGATTGCAAATTTTTTAAATAGTCGTGATGACGATCAATTATATATCGTGAATCATGATCGTTTATTTCTGTTGTCATTGAAGAAAAGTTTAAAATTTCACTTTTGTTATGTTTGTCGCTCGAAATGTGATTGATTATTGACTTATATCAAGTGTTTATACATGATACTCATGTATCATTCTGATTAAAAAAAATCAGTTTATATACAATCAAATATCAGGAATATTCAATGATAGTCAAGATAGCTATTTGATAGTAAGAATAATATTGAAATTAATCAATATGCATCTTTAATAATCATAAAGTTTTAATATTAATAGTAATAATTTGAAAAATATAATTAGAAAAAGTGGCTGATCGATATGAAATTTGGATAAGTAAAGAAGAAAATAAAAAGAAGAAATAAAAAAAAATTAAATATAAAATTTTAGTTTAAATATTTATTAGTTTCTAAAACATTAATGAAAATTTTTCAGTATTATATTATATATATTATATATTGAATTCGCGACTAACGTAATCATTTTTCTGTAGAAATTATTATTAATTTTTAAATTGCAAAAATAAAATATAAAATAATCCTTGAGCGATCAAAATTACAATGAATATCAGCATTATTTTTGGTTTATCGTTATAATGTTGATGATTTTTGTAATTTTAATTGTTCAAAAATTATTTTATTTTATTTTAGTATTTTGTGGATTTAATAAAATAGATTGTTTCTATTTAAAGTGTGTTCAAAATAATAGCTATAATATGTTAATATTACGCGTCAAATATTTTTATCTGCAAATTAGTTTTTTTGTACTCTCTTTTGTATGTTTGTATATTTGTATATTTGATACCGTATTATCATTTAGTAAGTTAAATTTCATTATTTTATCATTTAAATTTAATTTCTGGAGAACTAACTCAGATTTTATTATAACAAAATGATTGTATATGAGATATTCCACGTATATATATAGCCGATTATAAGTAGATATTCAATAATTGGCGATGATAAATAATTGTCATTTAATAACATTTGGATAGCATTCAATATATTAGTAATATATTCATATATACGACATTTAATATATCCTGATTAAAAAATTAGAAAAGCGCTATTGTATACATCTCTTAGTCAAACGAATTAAAATTTTGAGTGAATGAAAAGAAAAAGAATTTTAAATATAAAATTTTATTTTTCGAATATTAATAAATCAAATATTAATATTAATTAATTATATATTATTAGTTTTCGAGATATTAAATAAAAAATTTTTGGTACGATATATTTAATTCTGGTTATATATATACGCGCTTAGCAATATATGGCTCAGCATAATGTACCCATTTCTATAAACACATCGCAACAAGCGATGTTCGAAATGTTTAATAGACAGTTACAGATAGACAGATTTATTAGAATTTATTTGATTAATGGAGATTTTTACTATATCTCTATTCAGATTATAATTATATAATAGATAGATTCAAATTATAATAATAGATAGGTCAAGAATAATTGTGATACTTATTGCAATTTCAGTTATTGTAATTTCGGTTGCACAAAGATTTTATATTTTATTTTTGTATTGCGTAGAATTCCGTGAAAACTCAATATTAGATTTGAGATATTTTAAATCCATCACAATCTATAAAGAAATAGATTTTTAATCTATATATTTAATCTATATATTTATCGCATGCTGCGATTTATAAAAATAATAGATGATCGTAAGCTAATGCATATATTGTCAGACATTGGCATATAGACAGAATTTAATGTATTATATCAAAAATTTTTTATTAATATCTCGGAAACTAAAATTTTATATTTAAAATTTTTTCTCCCATCTCTCAAAATTTCAATTCATTTGGCTAAGCAATGTATATTGCATTTATCCAAAATTAAAATCATTCATAATTTTTAACATTTGATAACTATTTGAAATAAAAAAATTTTTTACCAATGATTTTTAAATATATTAGAAATTATCATTTTGAACTTTTTAATATACAACTAATCATTAGTTTTCGAAATATTTATAAAAAAGATTGTTACTATTATATATTTTTTTTATGTATCAGATAAATTTTTCTTATAAGCATATATTTATTACACGACATATGAATTACTTATATTTATGTTTCTATAAATAGATCGCAACAAATGGCATTCAAAATATATGGATTTAATATTTTCTCATGTTATTATGATGGATTTAAATTATTTTAAATTATTTTTAGATCCGAAAAATAAAAATAAAAATTTATTAATATATATTATGCACAAATATAATATAAAACAATCTTTAGACAATCGAAATTGCAATGACAGAATAATGCAATAATACAATAATAATAATGATAGCAATATCAGTATCATATTTGGTATTTATTCTTATAATTTTTATCATCTGGTAAAATATTAATTATTTATACAATTAAAAAAAGTTATAAACAAAAAAATTAATAATTTTTTTTAATTTTTTTAAATTTGTTTTTCAATGTAAAATTTTAATCAACAGTTTAAATAACTGTTGTCGTTAACTTTCCAAATATAGAAATCGATATAAACATAATCAAAATAAAGACTGTTATACACATGGATCAAAATCAGCATTTTAAAACAATAAAAAACGAAGAAAGAAATTTACAGGAAGCTAATATTATTGGAAGTATAATGTGACTATGCATAGAAACGGTTATTATATTATATACATTAGATTGTATTATTGCCATAATTATTTATCTTTTCAATAATATATGATACATAAAAAAAAATGCATAAAAAATATAAAATAGTTATAAAATGGACGTACCTAACATCAGAATCTTTACAACTTCGAGCAGCAGATACACGACTAAATAATATTTTGGCTAGATTGTCAATTTTATTGGTAAATTGATAACTTTTTTCTTCGTCACTATCTTCGTCTTCGATATTTGCGCTTCTTCCACGCCTAAAAGTACTAAAAGTACTTCGAGCAGAGACTATAGCCTCAGAATCGAGTTCAATGGCACTTTGAGTTCTTCGATTGATAGCACGACGTTTTCGACGTGTTTTCGGACGTTCCTGCCAAAATCTATCATGTCCTGTGACATCTGATTCTTTATGATCATCATCTCTTTTATTTAAATTCTGATATAAATTGAACATTTTGTTGAATTCTTTATGTATTTATATTTTTAAATAAATGATGTGAATTATGATGTGTATGTTATTTTAAATAATTTTTAAATTCTCTTTTTTTCTTAGTGTTTTACACTGTTTTTTTTAACATAAAAGCATTGAATGTATTTATAGCATATTTATTTACACAAAATAATTCACTAAATATATTATTTTATATGGAATAATATATTTTAGAAAATCGTATTTCTGTGTGATAATATATAACATTCGAAATAATTTTTTTAGTTATTTGCGCATAAACAAATTTAAAGGTCATGAAGTAAAGAAAAATTGATTTTCTACGAAACTTTTTTGTTTTCGTGTATGCATGATTAGCGAACGATCATATTCGCAATTTCTCCACATCTTATTGATTACGTACATAAGTAATATTATAATAAATATAGTATAATTTGATAATTATTTTTTTGCTGTTTTATAATTTTGTTAAGCATTTATATTTACAGTTTAATAGATACTGACAATTTTATCACTTTTATATTTGGCGATTAATTATTTTATTATTGTTGAATTTATTTATTGATTAGCTTAAAAAATAAAAATTTATATTCGTATTTCTATTTGGTATATATTGTATATATATATATATATACATATAAATATATATATACATATAAATATATATATATATATATATGTATGTATGTATGTATATTATGTATATTTATGTATGTATATTTATAATTTATATGTTTAATGATTGCAAAATCACTGATAAAAATAAGAGATTAATTAAGAATAATTCGTACAACGAAAATATGAAGTAAACGATTTATACAAATAAAACAAATAAAACAATAATACAATAATACGTGATAGTATAAACCGAATATACTGTACTATCATCTAGTAAGGAAGACGACCGAATACTGAATACTGAATATCCGATAAAGCTTCGTGCTAGTTTAGATCCCCCAGTTTGACATAGATTCGCTGGCCCAGCTGATTTTTACTTCGATTGCTGTAACTGCGCGTTTGCATTTCTACATTTTCATAGATATATTGTAAATTAAATCATTTTTTATTTTTTAATATTTAAATAATATAATTATTGCATTCGTTGTATATAATTTAGCATTTATTATTAATAATTTATATCATCTTACAACATTTGGTATCGTGATATTGTTACAATTATTAAATTATAATTATTACAATAAGAATTTTTTTATTTTTTTCTTTATTATTTCTTTATTATTGAAATACCAAGATAATATAATGAAGCATAATGTTTACAATGAAACTTGAAAAGAGATTTAGAAATTTCTTTATCCATAAAATATATAAAAAAAAATTTATAAAAATGATTCAAAGTTTCATATTTTTCTATTTTGTTTTTATATATGCTTTTACAAGCATTCCTCATTAAGTTATTATGATGTAATAATAGAATTAGAAATGTAAATATGAATCCGATTAAATTTAATTAAAAGTAGGGCATGTTTTAGATCTCTTTCGATTCTCTTGCTGAACTTAAAGATTATACATACATATGCGTGAGTTTTAAACATCGCAGTTTTATGGCTGCTCTCAGGAGGTATTTAAAAAAAACAATTGTTAAACAATTGTTGTTTGATTATTCAAAGAATAATTGCTTGATGAAATCAAAAAAAATTTAATCTTATCAACTCTGTTTAAAAATATTTCAGTTTTAAAAATTAATAATATTATTATTATTAATTAATAATAATATTATTAATAAATATTAATAATATTTATAAATTAATAAGTATAATAATAAATAAATATATTTATAAATAATAAATAATAAATACTAATAAATCAATTCAGAATATCAGAATAATATATTATTAATAAACATAAAATTGATATTATTTTAAATTTTTATAATAAATAATAATTTTACTATTTTTCATTAAAAGAAATGTTTAATACATTATGTTTGCAGTTATTATATGAAAATAAATATAAGCATTAATAGATAGTATCAATAAATAATTAATAAAAAGTGATTGTGTCAATATATATATTCAAATTTTAATAAAATAATTTTCCAGTATGTAGCCATAATTCTCTAGTATCTAAATTTATTATATAAAAATGATTAACAAAATGTTATTATATAAAAAAATATTTAAAAAGTTGATAATGCATTTTAATTTATAATGTAATATAAAAAATTAAATTATAATTTAGAAGAATGAAAAAGAAAATTAATTGCAAAGAATGATTAACAATTGAATAAGTAAATAACTAAAATAAATAATTTCAATTTTAAATTATTTTTTAGTTTAATTTAATTAATAATAATAGATTTACTTTAATTAATTTTAATAATTGTTAATTTATATAATTTATATCAAATGAAATTAAAGAAAATATACAAAAGAAAAATGTAGTAATATTTTTTGAAAAATTTGATTTCAAGAGAATATAAATAAAAAAAAGGCAAAGAAAAATTTAAATTTCTTTTAAAAAGATATAAACAATATAAAATAAAAATTGAAATGAAGAAATTTCATCTGAAAAAATTCATCAATATAATATCATCATATCATTATATATTCACACAATAATTATTTATTTTTCTATATTTAGTTAGAAAATAATTTTTATATTTTTATTTTATATTATATTTTTATTTTATATTTTTTATTTATTTTTAAATTAAAAAAGTAATTAGTTAAGTTATTGAAGCAAATTAAGTATATTGATGTGTAATTACATAAATATAGAAACAATTTTAATAATTATGTTTCCAATTTATAAATATTTTTTGTTATCTTTTCATTCATATGAAAAAATGTAATATTATAATAATTATATTTTTAATGTTATATTATATATTATATTAAATATTATTATATTTTTTTACTTATATCTTATTAAGAAGTTTACTATATAGTAATACTATATACTATTTACTATATTACTATATTTGCCATAATCATAATTTTTAAAATACAAATAATTTTTTAAAATAATTTAAATATTCATGAAATTGAAATATTCATGAAAGTTTTATAGTTGTATAATATTATATTAAGTAACATAAAATTAATAAAAATATTATTTCTTTATATATACGATTTAATAATAATTAATAATATCAATTTCAAAGTATTGAAACATAATCAATTATCAATATATTATTGCAAAAGGAATTCATTATTATTTTTATATTTAGAAAGAAGATTTATTTTTAAATTTTATTCTTGTTTATTGCATTCATAATAGTATATATACATATCAATGAGATTTGGTTAATTTTTCTCGAGCAAGTAAAATTTTAAATTGTAATGGCCAACTGTTTAATGGACGTCTATTGTATATCTATTATAGAATCATACTTGTTTTATTATTAAAAAAATTATATATGTTTAAAATTAACTTAAAATCATGTTATTACCTCTGATACAAAATTTAAAGCTTCACGTCGAGAAAATTCATATTCAGCACGGGGACCCCATTTAAATTCTATTTTAATTGAATCATTTTGTTCCAGTATAGTTTTATCAAGATATTTTTGTGCAACAAAGAGCTATAAAATAAATTTTAATTCAATATCAATTTTATATTTGATTTATTCAATTAATTTTCTTATATTTTCTTCTTTTTAGTTTTTTACCTCATTTATCAAATACTTAACATTACCAAAGTAAGGATGATAATGATTGTCTAAATACAAAATATCCAAATTAGTAAGAAAATCCCATAATGATTCTGAAATAATTTTATATTACATTAAAGATAAGATCATTTTTAAACAATTCTATATATTTCATTGTTATAAAAAGCATTATTACCTTCAGTACAGGATTCTTCTTGCATGAAAATATGAGTGAGTACTATAAATAATAATACTTGTTGGCTACTTTCTGTTGCACATGGATAAATGTGTGGTAATTCATTTTTTATTTCGTTTACTAACATATATTTATTACCTTCAAGTTCTATCAATTGATATCCAAAAATCTATGAACATATAAGCATATGCATGATATTAATTAAAATATTAAATAAATTTTAATTTTGTTTATACCTTTGACAAAAGATCTTTTGCTTTATTCATTATTCTAGAAAAATGTTTTCCTTGATTGTCAAAAACATTTTTAATTATACGAGTTTTATTGACAATTTGTTTTTCTCTATCTAATGCAAAAAAGTATCGTATCAGGTTATTAATAAAGCGATTATCTTCTTCAAAAATTATAGAATCAGAAAAGTTTTGCGATTTTTCATTAATATATGATATATTTGTACTTGTACTTGGAATAGGTTGAGAAAGAGTGGTAATATTATTCTTTTTTTTGACGATTGATTGTGATAAGTTCTTTTGTTGATTTTTTCCATGATTTCGTGGACCTTAAAAAAATATTTATAAATTTTATGTATATATTATGATAAATTATATATTTCTTACCCATGAAGTATGATAAAGAAGTGTTATAGAATTATTTTTATTTTTTAAATAAAAATTTTATAAATAAGATTCAGAATATATATAAAATATTTCACGTTGTCATTCAAAATTTTATTACAATTTTCTATTGTAATGACATCTACCGATCGTTAAGAATGATATAAACTTTCTTGTTGTGTTTGAAGGAATTTGAAGGACATAACCACAAACGAAGTAAAAAGTAGATTTTTTATTGAATAGGACTTTTTGTTCTATGTTCTAAAATATATACGTAAAAATATGTAAAAGTCATAAAAGTCATATTTATTTTTTAAAATTTAAAGCAATAAATGTAGAAATTTTAAATTCGAAATATTAAAACTGCTGACTAATTATCGATTAAATTAATTAATAAAGAAAACAGAAATAAAAATATAACTATAATTTTTATCATATATGTAATCCTTATACATAGGATATCCCAAAAATATAAAAACATTCATTAATTAGAAATTTCAAGCAACATTTTCTTTTGCAAAAACTTTTATTATGATTTTATTAAAGAATTATTAAAAAAAACATTGTTACCGATCAAGTACAATTAAGTTCAAACAATACACATCGAAAAAAGTGTGTTAAATATAATAAATATTTTTTTATGAATAAAAATTATATCGAATTATATCACAACAATGAATAAACTATAATATTCAATACTTCGATATGTGTTGCTTGGATTTATTAATTGATATATTGCTTGACTAAACTATGCGTTTTGTGATTGGCCAATATATATATACAAAGTATTCCAAAAATGTGAGAACATCGATTGCTTCAGAAAATTTCTGAGATAATTTTAAATAAAATTTTTTTTTGCAAAAACTTTCGTTTCGTTTTGTTTCAAGTTATTGTATGTAGAGTTATTATATTCATGAAATATCTTTAAAGGATCTAAAAACAAATACATGGTTATTTATTAACCATTATTATTCATTATAAGCAATTGAAATTTTATATTATTATAATTTAAAAAATAAGACGAAGCAAGATACAAATAAAAAGAGATCACTGTTACATCACTGTCTTGCTTTATTTAATATGAACTTAAATTGTTTGTAATTTAATAAATAATTAATAAATAAATCTATTTTATATTTTATATAAAATTTTATATAAATTTTAATTTTATATAAATTTCAATTGACATTTTTGTATATTTTTGTTTATTTTGACCAGTAGAATCAATTTTTTAAAAATGACAAATATATTAATTCTGTCTAGATATATTAATATAATTACAGGTAACCCTGCTATAATACGGTAAATAGATTCCTAGAAAATGCCGTGTTGTGTGAAACCGTGTTATATGAAATCCAGAGCCAGTACAACAAGGGAGATTATGTTCCGAAAATTTATTAAAAACAAACATTTTTTTTTTAATTCCATATAAGCAACTTTATTAAAAATATAAATATATGTATAATACAAAACGAAAAAAAACAAAAAATATTATTTTCATTTAATGCGATTTTAATTTCCTCCTCATCACAATCAAACGAGAATGTTTTTTCGGTTAAATGATATCACCTTCACTTTTAAAACTTTTTTCTTTTATTTAGATTTTTTGCATCTTCTGTTCTCTTTAAAAAATCTGTAATTTTGGTTTGTTTGCTAGTTCTTAGAAGATCATTGTAGATTTCACAATATGGAAATAGACAATTTTGCAATTCCTTTTTGAATTTTTGGCTTCTTTCAGCGGAAGGGTCTGCATTCAAGAAAAATGATTCAAGATTTTCAGCTAAATTTAGGCCTTCTTGTAATTTTTTTAGTGATTGTGAATTATTAACTTTAGAATCTTCATCAATACTATTGTCCTCAGAATCGAAGATAATTTGATTTACAGCTTCGGATTTCATTTCCATCAAATTCGCTTCGTTAACTTCTTCTTCCACTAATAAATTTTGAACATCTTCAATAACCACATCCATAAAAAATTCTCCGATTGATTTAGCAAGTTCTAATATGGTATTCTATATTCTAATACCAATTTCATTTTCTGACGATTTAAACATGTTTTCTATTTCAACTGAAAATGACCATATCTTTTTCCAACATGCATTTAATGTTGATATCTTTAGTTTTTTCAGCGATAAAGATGTAATATCGATGTAGTGCTTAATTGAAAATTGCCTCCATTACATTAATTGATTTCGAATCGGTTATATCTAAAATCTACTGTAATGCTTTTCATATATAATAAATTTTAAAGATATAAATAATACCTTAATCTAATGGTTGGAACAACAAAGTAGTATTAGATGATAGGAACATTATTTTGATGTTGGGATGATTCAAATCTTGTGGGTAACATGGAGCATTATCTAATAGTAATAGCACCTTGAAACTCAAATTTTTTTGCTTTAAATAATTTTCAACATTTTGCATAAAAAAATTTAAAAATCAATTTTTAAATAAATTTTCAGTTACTCAAGCCCTTGGGTTTGTTTTCCAATATACCGATAAAGTGTTTTTATTTATACTTTTACGCACGTGGATTTAAAGATCTATAAACTAACAAGGGTTTTATCATAAAGTCCCCCGACACATTACAAAAATAGCGTTATACAATTTTTAGACACCTTACATCCGAGTGCAATTTTTTCTTTTTTCAATATAAAGGTTTTATTGGGCATTTTTTTTCATCAAAGCCCAATTTCATCGGCATTGAAAATTTGATCTGCTTGTGTATCCTTGCTCTTCTATAATGTTTTGAATTTTTTTTAGATAGGCTTCATAATCAGTCGACGTAGATTTTCCTTGAATTCTTATGCTATGAATTGCAAAATGCTTTTTGAATTTTTCGAACCAAGCTTTACTTGCTACAGAATCTGGATTGATAGAGAATTCCCCATGTTCTTTAAGATGTTTGTAAATTTTAAGTGCTTTTTGTTTAATGATATTACTATCCAACGGAATTTTTTTTTATAGCTATCACAATCCAAATGTTGAGTGTCTTTCTCATTTTCTCAATTATTGGCGTCCAGAGACGAATTGCATATTTTGCGAATATCGAAAATGCAGTAACTGCATTTTTTATTTCTTTTTCATTTTTCTTAATAGTCCGAACTATTGTTTCATTAATTAAGACTTTTTCCAATATGAGATGCTTTTTCTCCTTTTAATAGACAATCCAAGCTTTAGATTTTTTTTCTACGGAAATAAATTTTTTCTTAAACTTTGTTTTTTTATATTTATCAGATATAACTTGGGACTGAAAATTAATTTTCCAAAAATTAGTCTTAAAGATGAAAAAATTATTATTTAACATATCATCGCAGATAACTTGACACAGACAGTTGCTTGAGATATTTTTGTTTCCAAGAGATAAGAAATAAAAAAGAACCTTCTGTTTACAGGTCCTTGGCAGCAATTGCATTTTATAACGATCGATACGATACAACGATATCGCATTTATTCATTTTGGATACGATGATACTTTCTATAACACTGTATCTCTGAGACAGTAAACCTCATTGTGGATGGTATATAAACTGTGCATTTCTGCTATGATATCGGAATAGAATTATAAATGAATAAATTATAATTTATTTATACATTTTCATGAAAAGCCACTATAATTCATTATTCCTTCTCTCTTCATTATTTTAAAATAGTTTTTAAATGTATTAAAAAAAAATTATGTTATCTAGTGCTGTAGAAGCACAATGTTGTACAAAGGTTCCTGCAATTTATCCCATCGTGTTACAGCGAAACCGTGTGGTAAGATGCCATGCTAGGACAGTTATCTGTATATTTCATTATTAGAAGATTTGGCGAATTTTTACTTCTTATTAATAATCAAATTTTCAAATATAAATTTTATTTATATTAAATAAAATATCTTAAATTTATTTTAAAAAATTTGTTTAAATATTATATTATTATTATATATATTATA